TTTTTTGTATTTTAGTAGAGATGGGGTTTCACCGTGTTGCTCAGGCTGGTCTTGAACTCCTGAGCTCAGGCAATCTGCCCTGCCTTGGCCTCCCAAAGTGCTAGGATGACAGGCGTGAGCCACTGTGCACAGCTTTTTTTTAATTTTATTTTTAAGAGAAGGGGTCTCGCTCTGTTGCCCAAGCTCAATCACAATGCATTGCTGCCTCAAAGTCCTGGGCTCAAGTGATCCTCCCACCTCAACCTCCCCAGTAGCTGGGACTACAGGTGCATGCCACCACATCCAGCTAATTTGTTTTTATTTTTGTAGAGATGGAGTCTTGCTATGTTATTCAGGCTGGTCTCAAACTCCTGGCCTCAAGTGATCCTCCTGCCTCTGCCTCCTGAAGTGCCAGGATTATAGACATGAACCACTGTACCTGGCCCTCTGTCATATATTAATGATTAATAGGGACAAGCTTATAATTAAACTTCTGTAACTTCTAGAGCATAGTAATTGTCCTCCTTATATCTGCCCTTTGCATTGTTAAAATCAAAGACTTTCAGAAACCCTCAAAAGGCTCCCTGCCATTCTTTTCCAATTCTAGGCCCCACTCAGAATTTCCACCCCATTCCAGCCTCTTGTTAGGAACTTTCCTACCAATGTACCCTTAGGGAAGACAGGAGTCAGTCATCAGAATAGGGAGGGAGAGAGTGCTGTTGAAATTCTCAGTTAAAATTTACTTTTAGGTTTTTTTTTCATAGAAATATTGCTAGAGTAGAATCTAAACTTCATTTCTGCTTCCAGCTTTATAGTTCAGCAACCCTACACAGTTAAAATCAGCTTTTGTGGGTTGGCTTAAGGGTTTGTCTGAGTGAGAAAGTAAGTTCAGAGTTTCAAATAATTAATATGAATTTTAACTTTAGAGTATAGTTCTTTTGTGAGGAATGGAAAGCTTAACCGTCATTCTTTGCCTAATAGAAAGATGGCACGGCACTACTATTGTTACACACTTGGCTCCAGGAGAATGAAAAAGAAACAAACCAGCTACTGATGCTGGGATCCAGTGTTTTTTGTTTGTTTTTACCTGAGGTTTGAGGGAAAGTATATTTATTGAATACTACTAAATCAGGTTAACTGTGACAAGTAGTTCTTAATACAGTATAATATGATATGATAAAAAAAATTTCTCTTAGGTTGTGGTTTTAACACTTCACAAGTAGTTTCTTTTCCTGTTAACTTTCAGACAACTCTGCTTAAGCCTAAGCTAAATACCAGGAGGAAGTGCTACCACAATTTTAGCTTTCTTGTTTCCAGTTGAGCTATTATTCTCACCTTTTCCCCATTAGTAAAGTATCATACATTCACTTACAGTTCTCTTTCTAGCCTAATAAAAAATGGTCTTAAAATAACTACAGTAAAATAATAAAATAATCATAAATCTGAGAGAGAAAAATAGGCAAACTGCCCCATCAGTACTAACAAAAAAGCTTGCAGATGTTTAAAAACTTTCTTTGGCTTTGGTTCAGCAGCTTGGTCAGGAAACTTACTGACCAAGATCCCTTGTCTTTTTCTATAGGGCCCCTGCCCATAATGTGCTGGCAAAATATAGCTGTTGTTATATTCCTGATACAGCACAAAAAGGCATGAAAACATTCTAAGTAGTAAAAACAATCTGTCTTTCCCCAATGGGCCATAAGTCCAGAAAAACAAGTTACCTCATTTATGAACCCTCCTATTTAAGACTCTGTGACACAACAATATTGCATTACTATTTTCTATTAAAATATACTTTCAAATCAAAATCTTAGCTAAAATGTCCAGCAAGTTTATAAAAATCTTGTTTTTTTCTCTTATCCTTTTAAATTGGAATTTAGGGCACAGAAAAGAAGTATGTTTTTATTTCACCTAGTAAACATTACTAGGCCATAGAAACCGTAACACTCCACTAATTAGTATCTTTGCATAGCAAAAATTAAAGCAATCTTAATTCACAGGGATGATTCTGAAATATACAAAGATGTTAAAATTCCCTCTATTAAACAATGCAATTATTAATATATTCAGTATCTAGTCCAATTTGATGTAATAATTATAGAATTTCAGAGCTAAAACAATTATAAAATAAGTTGGGTGAAGCTAGAATAGATTTGGAACATCTAAGTATTGATACACTCATTCTATAGATGAAGAAATTGAGAAAATTGAGAACCAGAGGCAAAATATATGGTTTTAATGTCAAAATACTGATCACATTATAGTTTTCAGAAACTTGGACAACCATCTATAAAACTGGGGTTGGCCTTATGATTTGCTACAGTATATGGCTGCTTGTTTGGTATAATTTCAGAAATGCTCTTACCAAAAAAAAAAAAGGCACAGAAATTTGTCACCCAAATTCTTCCTCAGAGATAAAAATAGTAAAATGATAACTAGTCATCTTCTATTTACATATTTAGTTGAGGTTCAATGATGCCTATAATTCTATAAGCAGACTAATTCCATTATTTTTGTTAAAATGCAAGTACCACTCTCGCCACTCTTACTCAACATAGTCCTGGAAGTTCTAGTCAGGGCAATAGGCAAGAAAAGTAAATAAAAGCCATACAGATAAAAAAGGAATAAATACAACTGTCCTTATTTATAGAAGACACATTATGTATATAGAAAATCCTAAGGAATTTATAAAAAACATCAAACTCCTATAACTAATAAGGGAGTTCCACAGGTTGCAGAATACAAAGTTAATATACAAGAGTGAGTTGCTTTCCTATAGACCATCAATGAACAATTAGAATTTGAAATTTTAAAAAATTACAATAAAAAATAAAATAGGTATAAATCCAACAAAATATGTACAGACTCTATATACCAAAAACTACAAAACTCTGATCAAATAAATCAAAGATCCAAATAAGTGGAGAAATACTTAATGTTCATAGATTGGAAGACTCAATACTATTAAAGTGTCCATTTTTCCCATCTGTAAGTTCAACATTCCAATTAGAATCCTGGCAAGCTATTTTGTAAATACGAACAAACTGATTCAAAATTTTATATGAAAAGGCAAAAGACCTAGAAGAACAGTCAGACTGTTTTCATGACTTACTATAAACTACAGTAATCAATACAACATAATATTAGTGAAAAGACAGATACATGACAGATCAATGGAGCAGGAAAGATAGCCTAGAAATAGACTGATAAAAATATGGTCGTTGACTTATTGTTAACAAAGAAGTGGTCAGGCGTGGTGGCTCATGCCTGTAATCCCAGAACTTTGGGAGGCCCAGGCAAGAGGACTGCTTGAGCCTAGGAGTTCAAGATCAGCCCAAGCAACACAGGGGACTCTATTACAAAAAAAAAAAAAAATCACCCAGGCATGGTGGCATATGCCTGTCTGTGGTCCCAGCTACTTGGGAGGCTAAGACAGGAGGGTCGCCTCAGCCAAGGAGACTGGGGCAGTGAGCTGTGATCACACCACCACATTCCAGTTTAGGTGACAGAGTGAGACCCTGCCTTAAAAAAAAGGAGCACAGGCAATTCAATGGAGAAAGGATAGTTTTTCCACCAAGTGATGATGAAATAATAGAACATCCATATGCAAAGAAAAGAAAAGAGAAAAAGAGGAAGAAAGCAAAATGACTTGACAGAAACCTCATACCCTTAACAAAAAGTAACTCAAAATGGATCACAGACCTAAACTTAACACACAAGACTAAAAACCATCTAGAAATAAATGTTAGAGAATATCTAGATCTAGATCACCCTGAGTGATCTCACTCTTTCACAACTGATCAAACCTGTAATTACCTCTCAGTCCTTTCTCCTTAATCTGAGGCCTATTTCTTTTTTCTTTTTTTCTTTTTGAGATGGAGTCTTACTTTGTCAACCAGGCTGGAGCGCAGTGGTGCGATCTTGGCTCTGCAACCTCTACCTCCCATGTTCAAGCGATTCTCCTGCCTCAGCCTCCAGAGTAGCTGTGACTACAGGTGCCCGCCACCATGCTCAGCTAACTTTTATATTTTTAGTAGAGATGGGCTTTCACCATTGACATTTATTCTTAATATTACCTTTATTCCACTGTTTTGGCAGTTGTATCAGCCAGTGATATTTTAAATTATGTCCACTGTAATTACATGATTCTTCTCTTTCTACCAGTGTTTAACTGACTCTGTGATTCACTTACTACTAATCTTGAGTAAGTTACTTAACCCCTGTGTGCCTCAGTTTTTATGCTTACAAGATGGGATAATGATATCTCATTGGACTGTTGTAAGAATTAAATGGTAATACCTGTAATCATTCTGGTACAATACTTATTCATAGCAAGCACGTAAGTACAGTTATTATTATCATCATATACTACCTATGGATCGTTTGTGGCTCCCCACATGGAAATGTACAGATAAATGCAAGAGGGTTTACTGCCTTACACCTTATATGACTGGATGCATCTGTATATGTGAAGTGTAATGGGATGTCAGTGTACATGCTGTTAACTTCGAGTAGTGGTAGAAGGCAGGAAACAAGAACAAATGTTAAGCCGTTACACATTTTGTATAATACTAAATTAAAAAAAATTCTAGCCTTGTGAATACACAGATTGATGTATCTTTACCTTATTTCTTTCCCATGTGTATAATGAATGTGTAAATTATCCATGTAATGGTCAAAATATAATATTTAACAAATAGATACATTTTTTTCTATAGATTTCTGTTGATGATTCTTTTTTTTTCTCTCCAACAGCTCAACCATATACCCTCAGATTGTTCAGCCAACTTTGATTTTTCTAGGAAAGGTTTGTTAGTGTTCACGGATAGCTCCATTACTAATGGAAATGCCCACAGGCCCGCTAGTAACTCGACTGTATCTGGGCTATTTCCCTGGACCCCGAAGTTGGGAAATGAAGACTTTAACTCAGTCATTCAGCAGCTGGCTCAGGTAAAGTTGTATCTTCTTATGGAAATATTTAGCTTCATTTCTCCTGCTTGAGTTTTAAAAAGGAATTTAATACTCATTCTTTTTGCTGTAAAATGTGTTAGTATGTATTTTGCTTGCTTGTATTTTTATGTTAGGAGGAACTGACACCATTTTCTAACATTTGTGTTGAAATTTTATTGGCTTAAAATTTCATAAGGAAAGTATCCATGTATGTGGTAAGGAGAGCTTTTAAAAAAATTAGTTAACATTTATTTTTTGAGATAAGGTCTCACTAAGGAGAATTTTTAGACAATGGCTAATTGAATGCATCTCTGTTCTTGCTAAAGAAAGATTCTTAAACGTTTTGATGACAGGAGCTAAATTAATACAGCTTGCCAGAAGTGATGAAATTCTGCCTAAAAGGGTGAGATGGGTGAATCACTTGAGCCCAGAAATTCAAGCCTATAGTAAGCTATGATTGTGACCCTGTACTCCAGCCTGGGTGACAGAGCAAGAGCTGTCTCTCTCTCTTTTTTTTTTTTTTTT